CTGGGCTGAGGCCCTCGTTTCACTCTAAGGAGTGCCATTTGTACGATGCAAAGAGAGCAAGGGGCAGGGGAGAGGGTTGTCCAGAACAGCCTGAGTTTATTGATCTTGATGCAGGTGCAGAGTGTCGTGCTCAGCAGCTCATCAGGCATCACTGGCAAACACGGGCATACATCCTCTCTGACTTGGAACCAACAACAATAAGGGGGGGTGGGGGGGCTGGGGAGCCAGGTTGACTCTAGACTGGGAAAAAACCTTATGCATGGCTGCTGAGCTGTTCCTTCCTTGTAGCAGAAGTGACATTTAAGCAATGCACAACTGAGCATAGCAAGCATAGCACTGATGTGCATCTGTGCACACCTATGCATTCTCCTCCAATGACCCATTCCTTATTTTACCCTTCACCTTTCACCATATGGGTGGACTAGGAGCTTGTGACCTGACACTAACATGCATGAGATTATTCCTAGTGCTTAATGTTGCATTTACATGCAGCCTTTACTCCAGCTGCATTCCCTACTGCATTACCACCACCCCACAGATTGTAGCTTGGCAGACTGTATGATGGATGTAATTCCAACTGCCTACAGCAGCAGTAAGCAAATGCAATGCCTACTAATAAACAGCAGAAGGAACCTAGGACAGGAGCTTAGGGACAGGGAAGAGAGAGGCAAGATGGCGGAAGGTCATTTTGTCCCATTTTATGAGTTTGCTTTGTCTCCACTACAATCGTCCATGAAAATATAATGGTTTAAGAGCCTGCTGACTGCTGCATAAAGAGCTCAGCAAGAGCTCAGATACATCCAGATTATCAGTGCACAGCTGAGAATGAAACACAGCCTGCTTGACCATAAATAGATTTTGTTTTTAAAAAAAATTGCTTTGTACTCTCGCCTGGAATAACTTAATTTCTCCCACGTTTTTCATTCTTGGCTGGCTTGGATGTGCAGTCACCAGCTGTTTGCTAGGATCACCCCTTCTCTTTGCTCCCTCCCCTCTGAATTCTTCAGGACATTATTCTGTTGAAGCTTTGGCTCTTAATAAGAATTTAATCAAACAAAACAAAAACACAGCAACCCGCTGCTTCACGGACAGTGTTTGATGTGTAAATATGTAAAGAAGGAGTGGTTCGAAAATGCAATGGGCTCCCTCCCAGAGACCTAAGAGTCCCACAATGAGCCAACAAGACCGGAAGGGATGTGTGCGTCCTGTGAGATTCGATACCATCTGATTCCAGGGGTGTTAGGAATATGGGAGGCCAGAAGCATGGGCTGAGCTGTTTTTTGAAGGGACGTTTCTAGTGGAATCCCAGCGGTCAGTCATCTACACGGCAGTCAGCCATTGCTCTTCGCCCATGGAGTTCCTACCTGCAGCCAAGCTGGTACTTACACCTACCAACAGGTACTGCCCCTACAGGCTCCTAGACGTAGGCAGTGGGAACCATGCTGCAGTCCTCTCGTGCCTGCCTGTGATGAGCTGACATCTAATAGGGAGCTATGTTCTGCATCACCCACCTCCGACTTGGAGGAAATAGTTCCTGTTTGTGCACTTGTCACCACCGTGTTTTCTCTATGTGCTGTGTGCAGTCCATGCCGTAATTATACTGATTGCTGTGGTATCTGCTATATATGGAAGATGCCTTTAAGGGAAGCCTACAGGAAAAGCTATTAGGACTCAGTAGGGGGCATCCTTTCCTGAGCCAGTGCCCCAGCATGATGCATGGCTAAAGATGCTGTTTTTCAGATGTGATGTAAAACTGAAGCTCTGATCACTGCATTCGCTGCTGATCCAAGAAGAATTTCGCAAAGCATATTAACTCCTGGGTCCAAATTACAAGTGCAGGACAATACATCTGCCTGCAGCCCCTTCCCTAAACATGGCCATTTCTAGCTCAGTGATGGCTGTAATTTAGGGACAGGCCACAATATTGGCAGAGAGGCCCAAAGTATGAATATTTACTGCAGCTCTTGGCAATCTCTCCAATTCTTGTGCTCATGACCTTCCCAGGTGATTAATGGTTAGAGAGACAGAATCAGGGTACTGGTTTATGAGCCTAAATGCAGCATGATTAAGATGCAAGATAAAAAAAAAATACACTTAATTTTTTGGAGAGTAAGCAGTAAGTGCCCAGGTCTGAAAATAAAGGACAGGCATGGAGATGCTGCTGAGCATGCTTCAAGAATAAAGTCTTTCTTGATCTACTTCTGCCCACAAAAATCCTCCCCTTTAATTCAGTACTTCAGCTAAAATGAGCTGTGGAAGTGCACAAGACAGGAGCACTAGCCAGAGGCAATGGGTAAAGGCAGGGATGATTTGCGGTGTCATTCAAACCAAGGGCAGAGCAAATTTCTTCATTAAGTTCAGACACTCAATTATGGACGACTGGACTTTTGGGCATATATTTTTGCGAACATTTCTAGGGCAATCTTTGGCTACCAAAAAAACCCCCCACTTACTGTTTGTTTTTCCCGTGCATCTTCATGTCTGCACTTTACCAATTAGGAGCATCCCTGCAGCTGTCGGACTTTGCATAGTTTGCTAATAGCATTTTTTACAACGCAAGAATTACTTCTGATTAATGCCTTCTGCCTTCTGTTGTGCGGAACTGTGACAAGGGCTAACAACAAGCATGATCTGCATATGAGTGCAAGATGGAGAATGGTTGTTTATGAAACAAAGAGATGAAAAACGTGCAAACCAGTTACTAGAATCCTGCAATAAAATCCTGTCCTTGGCTTCTCACAAGCATTCACGCAAACAGGTTTTTGTTTATGTAAATGTTTGGGGAACGGCTGTTCTGTATCTGAATGCCCTTTTCACATGCAAACAATCATATTTGCAGCAGCAACAACAACAACAACAATTGCTATTTGTCATCCCTAATTTTCTCCTCTTTAAAATAGTCCAGTCATCCAAACAGACAGAACAAGTAATGCAATGCAACTCATACAACACCCACAGAGTAACCAGTGTTGCAAACAGTCATAGCGAATGCATCCTGAACAGCATATAAACCAAAACTTGTCCAGATGATTCAGCTGATAACTAGAACTGTGCAACAAGGATTGATACCCAAATGATGCACTTCATAATGACAAAAAAGAACAGAAATCAGAGATGGGAAAGACCTAGTCCACTGCCAATGCAGGTGTGTTTGCCTCAGCCAAGGAAGTCATTGGGATAGAGCGGCCTAAATAGTTTTGGGGACAAAGATTTAAGGTCAAATCCTGGCCCACCTTAAATCAGTGGGAGTTTTGCCATTGACATCAATGGTGTCAAGATTACTCTTGGCCTCCCCTCATTTTTTCCCCTGCTTGTGAGGCAATGCTCTGCGTGTGCAAGGTGAAATGAAACGTGCACAATGACTGGAAGTTGCATGGCACAGCAGCATACAGGCAATGCAATACAGCACAATGGGGAATATTTTTAGGTATAAAGAATGTAAAGAGAAGGGGGAGAAAAGCCCATTCACTATTGAAAAGAAAACAAACCAGCATTGATAACTTTATCTTTTTTACTGCCTGACTGAAACTCAGGAAGCCCAAAAGAAAGCAGGGTGAACTCTCACTAAACTCCTATTCTGCTTCATGATTTGATCTCTCTGCTACTGAACTGAAAGGATCAGGAATGAGGTGATGAGGCAGTAGGCAACAGTGTGATAAGAAGACCTTTCCTTCAAAATGTCACAGATATGGTGACTAAGTGTGGTTTGAATCTCTCTCTATCAGTCTCAAATCAACCTGCATCAAATCACATAGTTTGCAGTTTTTCCAAGACTCTTGAAAATGAGTTTCTCTCAAATGACCCATTAGATAAATAACATACAGATCTGCTAAGTATTTCTATGAAAGATGATTAATAGGCATCAGAGACAGAAAAGGCTGAGTGACCCATCTAATTCTGCTCCCTCAGCTAATGCAGGGCTTCCCTCTTCCTTCTGGGAATGCTTCCTCTAGACTGGTTTTAATCCCACTGGATGGAACTTCCACCATTCTCCTTGATGGCATATTTCCCAGATTAATTGTTTGCTTTTAGATATTTTCCTTATTTTTTTTCCTTTGTGTGCTGTCAGACTATTGCTGTCCCCCACACAATATTACAGTGCTGCTCCACAGCAAGTGGAAAGATCATCTGGCCTATTCCCTAGAAGAGAGGTGGTCAGCCCACAGCATACTTGCCACAAGTGGCATGAACAGCTGGTGCATGTGATATTTGAGCCCTGGGCACTCAGTAACAGGAGGCACCGGAATGGAGGCAGAGAGAGGAGCACTCAACCTAGCTTTTGGCCCCTCGGACAGCAGTGTCCTTCCCCCACAATGCTTGGTGTGGCTGGAGGCACGTGCCCCTCTGCCCAAAGAGCCTCTCCCGCTTTACCCAAGGCAGGGAGCCATAGGAGAGCCCTCAGGAATGCACTCAGCTGGGGAAAGGACCTCCGTGCCTGGGGCTGCATTTAGTAATACTCACCTTCCCACTTCTCATGAACCTCACACCAGCCCTTTGCTGGTACTGCCTTGCCCCAGCCTGAACCCTATAAAACCTGATCAGTCTGTTTCAGTACTATGCATTACATCATATCTATCAGCAGAGAGAAATACCACAGACAACTCAATGTGCCTACTGGCCTGGCAAGGCAGCATCACAAAAGAAATGCAAGAGAGCAATAGAAATACTTAGGAACATCAGGTGCATACCTGTCACGACCAGTTGGAGAGTGAAGTTCTCATATAGGCCATGCTTAGCATTGCTCAGGACTATGGTGTAATTACCAGCATGCTTCGGTCTCACATCTCTTATGCCTAGCTTGTACTTCATTGGATCAGGTTCGTAGCAAGTATGGTTCTCCTTGACTGGCTTGCCATCTTTGTACCTGTTTGGAAAGTCCCATCAAAGGCTGTCAGCTATGCATGCGGGCAAGCCCTTGTATATGCCAGAAGGGCAAATTGCTATTAGCTTTTGGTTTTCAATAGGAAAACAGATAGGTATTAGCCTTGGAGAATATCTGAGATTAGGACTTGGACTAGATAAAAAATACACAATATATATTTCCACCACACTGGGGGGGCACTGACCATCCTGTAAGATGCTTTCCATTTTTTAGCCAGCAACTATGAAAAGAGGAGATGAGAATGGTATCCATTTGGAGCACTCCCAGTTGTAGAACTAGGTGGCTTCTGGACCAGCAACACCAATTTTAAAGTGCAAGTTATAAGCCACGTGCAGTGTACAAGTCAGTTTTTGGAGCTCCCTCAACTGAGATGGACATAAATTACCACCATCTGCAAGTGCAGATTGAGTAGTTCACAAACAAGCCAACAAGCAGGGTACATACTTTGCATAAGCCTTGCAACAGGCACAGTAAATTACAGGTTGGCCTGAACTTGAGCCACTAGTTTTGGAACCAACAAATTAAGTGAATATACAAACAATAACCATAGGTACACATGGCCCTTCACAGCTGCAGAATAAGCTAAAGGTAGTGCCCTGAAGAATTTGCAACAACTGAGCCCGTTTTGAAAATTTAATTCTGTCGGTGGATGGGAGACATTGGGCATCCTACATGTGCTCCAGGAGGTATGGCGGGGGGCGCTTTAATTAGCAAGCCACACTAATTAAAAGCACCTGAGCATCATGTGCATCAGTGTTCCTGTGCTGAAAATGGTAGCGGGGCTCTTTGAACTAAAACCCATTGAACAAGCTTTAGCTCTAAGTGCCCTACCGCCATTTGTAGCATGGGTATGCTGATACATGTAATGCTATAGTCTGCTGGAGCGTGTTAATTTTAACACTCTAGCAGACTTGATTAATCGAGTCTGATCCAATGTGCTGGATTTCGAGAGTGTCGGAGCTGGCTCCTTGCACATGTATAGGAGCCCATTGTTATTCTGTTAAGACAAGCACTTTGAAAACCTTTGTTTCCTCCCCATGAAGCAACTGTGATCTTAAAATGACAAGGAATAGGGCAGAAGAACCTGGATAATCTCCCCCCTCCTCACAGAAAAAGGCACCTGCAAATAGCATGCAATACTGATTGGATACTTCTGAACTTCAACCATTTAATGGGCAGGATACTATCTTCAACAGGTCAGTGCTACTGAAGGGGATGCACTGAATGGACTCAGTGAAGGAAACAGCCAAGGAAACAAGACTGTGTTCGTTCTGGGAGTTTTAGAAGTCTCCTGTACAGCAGTTCAAACAACTCCACTGGCAAAGCCTCCAACATCAACATCCCTAGAACACCCGGGGAAGACAACTTTGGTGGTCTCAGACTGCTACCAGAAATGGCAATTTCCTCTCCCACTGTCTGCACAAAGAATGACCCAAAAGGGCAAAGCATAGTGAGGATGAAAAGGGGCACAGTCCCTATTTTAGCTCTAAAAACAGAATCAGATGGCTGTGTTCCCCTGGAATTTAATCCCCCAAAACCAAGCTAACCACTAGCCACTGGTGCTCACCAATCCCACTGCCCAGTGACTCTAACTCAGACCTGCTTTATTGACTCAGCCAATGGAAAGTGCATCGCAGAACTGCCAACACAGCCCAACCTCTGCATAGAAGAAGCAAAGTGTAGGATAATATTGAGTGTGGCCTCCAATGCATGTTGAGGATATTCTGAACACCGAGGAACGGGGAATGGAGCAGGGGACAGAATACTGGTGGTCTTGGCCCCTATTTCTCCTTTTTATCCAAAGAAACATGGAGAAAGCGGAGGGAGAAGGAGAATGGAGACCATGCCTGCCTTTACTTCCTGTGGCTGCTGAAGTACTGCATGGGCTATTAAACTGTGGTTTGTTATAGTTATGTTGGAGTAGCCAATGATTGACTGAATATAAATCCCCCCTTTTCTGTTACTCTACAGCCAAATATTTAAGACCAATCTGCCATTCCCTCCTTTGTGTGCTAGGATGCTATGTGTACGTAATGGTTTGAGAAGTGGACATAGACGTGACACTGGTGGACCAAGGATGGTCCACCACTGTCCAAGGTTCTTGTGGGTAACTCTGAAAACATTGTCTGAGTTCATGACTGAAATGCATGGGAAGCAACATGCCAGAAATAAGGTTTGTTCTTGCTACAGACAGCACTGGACATTGGGAATTATCCTTTCCTAGGAAGGAACAGATTAGAAGGTCTAAGAGATCTGCATATTTGATTTTATGAAATACCCTAGGAAAGCTTGAGCAACGTTTTGTGTCACACATCAGTGATTCTGTTCACACATTGGTATTCCCTTCACTTTGCTATTACTTTGTTATTACTGCATGAAAACAGGATCTTCTGGGTTGCTAGGCTCTTGTCTTCCTGTCCAGAGCTAAAGTCCAAATCCCTCCCAGCTGGCTGTGATAGAAAACACTCATGTGTGCATTAGGACTTCAGGTGGGAAAGCAGCAGCAGACAAACCTTCATGAAAAACAGATCCATTTGGCATGCCAATGTCCCTACTAATATCTGAGGCAGGGAGGAAAAAATATCAGCTAGGGAGGAAGAACTCCTTGTGCAGAAAGTGTTCCTTACAGCTTTCTTGGAGGCACCGGCTCCTTTGAAGATGTTCCCCAACAGTGCTGATGCCACTGGCAATCCTGTTCGGTGCTTCTCAGGTGTTTTCTGCACACAACTGAATGAATGACTATATTTCTACATTGCTTTGCATAACTAGAGAAGGAAAGTCAGGCACAGAGCAGGGAAGAGGCTTGCCCAAGACCATTCAAGGGGTCTGTGGCAGTGTAGAGTCTAGCACTTGGATATCAGTAGTGTCAGCTTCATTATTTAGAGTAGACCACCCCACTTTTGCAAGCTGAGAAAGAAAGGTCCTGCATTCCTGATCACATGTGACTGGATGAGACTCACCAGGTAATATTTGGGCGGGGAAAGGCTTCCACCTTCACAGCCAGTTTCAGTAACTTGTGTCCTGCTGTCACTTCATAGTAGGGGCTTTTCTTAGAGGAAACCCGGAGGAAAGCTTTGTCTATAAGAGACAATAAAAAACAAATCAAACAATAGAAGATTGCCAGGCTACAAATGCTTGCTGCCCTGGATGACTGGGTTTTAGCAGCACAGCTGAGGGGAAGCTGCGGACAGCCAGAGGGAGTGATAAGCTCACGGCTTTATTGCAGAACTGTGCAGCCGCGGTTCTCTTTGCAATTTTGTACATGTGCAAAGGGGTATAAATAAGCAGAAGACCGTACCATGCTGCATCTGGTGGCACCTAGCTTCAGGGAACACACAGCAGTACTTGAAGATGCCTTGCTTTAATGGGCAGTGTTATTAGCAAATTCTGAGCTCTACCTGTGGCCATCTGAACTCTGAAAGGGCCCAACTATCAAGGGGATAAATAGGACCCCAGTTTAGCCATGTTTTCCCAAGTGCTCGGATCCCAACTATCTGAGTGTGACTGAAAACTTGGCTGTATTGGTGGGTGCTGGGCCGTTTACAAAATGTTGGTGCAGTTGTACAAAGATGCTGCCCCTCACTCCCTACCTCCCCAAATATAACCAACTCACAACCAAGCAGTTGAATTCCAGCTTCCATGGGTTTCCTAAATGTACTGACTTTTCAGAGACAGTTAAAACATAACTACCAAACCAGGACAAGCTAAGGTATTTCTACATGCCGTGCCTCTTCTCTGATAGGGACAAACTCCATTTGTTCAAGCAGAGGACATGACCTTCCCATAATTACATAGCATATTTTGAGGAAGACATTTCTTCCTGACCGCCTGGTGATCAATGTATATGCCCTACAGCATCACAATCTTGTGACTGCATCCTAGCCAGTATCATTGCTGATTCCATTTTTACTCAGACAGATTAAATGTGCCTACACTTAACAGTGCTAGTTCCCAGACACTGCTGTCATGCAGATATGGACCTTACCATACACTGTGACTGTGACATTTTTTTCCAGCCCCATTGCACTGGTCTCCAGGCCTGTTACATTGACCACTCGGCAGATGTAGAGGCCTTTGTCTTCCATGGTAACATGCGGGATAGTCAGATTGCTGGAGCATTTATACACCAATGAACTTTTGTCCAATGCTGATACAGGCTTATAATCCTTCTGGGAATCAGAAAAGGGAAAACGTACAATGAGCTTTTTGCTTATCCTGTTCACTCTTTCTAACAACCTCTCAGTTAAGACATATGAGTTATAAAAGCATTATATATAATATAAAATAAGCTAATGACAAGCCCTCTCTCTAAGTTTCCAGTGTGCAGTCTATTAGGAGATATACATACACATAACCTAATACAATTCTGAAGTTCCCTCATTAATGTCTAGGCAGATGGGTAATAAGTAGTCATACCACAAAGCCAGTCCCATTCACAGCTTGTAAGATTTTCAGCTATGGTATTCAACTTCCCCAACAGGGATTTATTTTCATTCTTCCTTAATTTCTGGACTGGAGAAGAAAGACTAATACTTGAAAACAGGAAAAAGATCTCTTTGGCAACCACTCCTCAATGAAAAAAGCCCTCCAGAATTTCCTACAGATTGATAAGCTTTTGACAGAATTTGGATTCTCTGGACGTTATTAGGGAACGTTATCCCCACTACAGAGAGTTCTAAAGGATGACTCCAAGAAAAATGATAGAAAGAAGATTATATTCTCATACTTTACATAGGTTTTAAAGAAAACAATTCTGTAAAACCAGGTTTTGGGTTGCATATTTTATATTACTGTTGCTTTCTTTACTGATTTCACCAAGAAACCTCAAAATCTGACCAATCAATCAACTTCAGGGGGCTACACTATGTTTTAGTTCAGATCCTCCTCTTTCTTCAGAAGGTTTAGACATGTCTTAGAAATGCCTTTTCCTCCTCTTTTTAACACACAGCAATGGTAGGGCCCAGTCCTACAGTGCAGTGAGCACCTAATAACATCTGAGCCTGAGACTGATGGAGTTTAGGGCATCTCAGGAAGTCTCAGCACTTCACTGAATCAAATCACAAATGAATCCTCCCCGTATTGTATGCCATAAACAGACCCCAGGACCTTTCACTTAAAACTTGAAATAAATGAGTAGTGAACTTTGGGAAGTCCAGTTTACTTCTGTTTCACAGTTACGTGCCACATAAATACCAACATGGGTGGTAGCGAACTGGAGAATCTGCCATGTTTGTGGCTGCCTCTGGGAATATCCCATTGTCAGCTGGGAAGAGGAGAGGTTGTCCTGACATGGGAAAGGCTATTCTTTCCCTTAAGAAACTATTATTCATTGTCATCTTGCAGGAATCCATTTAGTATGACATTTTGCAGGTCAGTTTTGAAGAGCCCAGAGAGCCAGATATATATATATATATATCATGTAAGCATCCAGATTCTCACTTGGTTTGAACTGAAAACACAACCATTTGTGGATTGTTTTAAGAATGATGAATGAGAATAACATTGGGGTCCAATGAGCCATAATCACAGATCTTTCATTTCCATCAGCCTGACTCCAGTACTGAATGAAAGACAGCCTGGAATTGTCATCTACTCACACTCCCTCTGGGATACTGCCACTGAAACTCAATCCGTCCATTGACAAAGGTCTCTGCGGTGCATTCCAGACTGAGGGCTTCTCCCACCAGCAGCCTTCTGGGATTTGCTTTCAGAGCCAGGCCCTGTACTCTACCCTCTGAAACAAAAAGTGTCAAAGGTAAAATTTAATGCCACATCTCTTCAAATTTAAGATGAGACCCAAATTTCAAGATCCGCTGTTTCCCCAAACTTGGCAAGAAATTAAATTTATTAACTGACCTTTACGGAGCTCTTGAGTGATATGGCATTTGGAAAAAAATGAGGTTACTTACTGAAATGCCTAAATAGGGAGTAGCCTATTCTCTGTGCTGTGTGTAGGAGGTGGGGGGCCAGACTTTAGTCCCATCTGGTTTTAAAATCTATGACTTTATTAATTTAGTTAACTTTCTTTCCTCTGTCTTGCTGGGCTCCAGCCCTCAGTCATTAACCACATACAGAGATGGCCCAGGTCCATCCTTTCCTAATTCCTACGCAGAAAGAGATTTTTTTAAAAGTCTGGTGCTTTTGAAGGCCTTAGTATTTATAAATAAAAAGGAGCCAACTTCCAGGAAGCACAGGACATCTACTTTCTGAGAACCAGCTTTTGTTTAAACTGAGCTCTAACATCTCGTGTCTTTTTGAAAATACAGCCTTATTGCTCCCTATCTGAAATGAAGTCATTGAGCACCATTGGATAGGAGTAACGACTCTTATGTAGAGTGTAGGGCATCGAGGAGACTGTAAGATAATAACAATAAAAAGAAGGAACTTGTGTTGCCCTTATGGGCTAGGTGACCTAAAAAGTTTTTTCTGTCTTTGATTCTGTGGGTTAAGTAACAAATAATTACTCTAAGTGATGGGAAAAAAGATCTCCAAAACTTCTATTTGGCTGCCAGACAAATTTGCCAGGCTGTTGTTCTGAGCCACATGCTAATTGTTGAGCAGGATGTCATGACCTGAGAGAAATGATGTCAGAATGAACTTTCCTTATTAAAATTTAGAATTTATGAGTAGGCAAAAAAAAATCTTCTATATACAAAACAAAAGGGAAATTAGTAGAAAAGCATTTGGACAAAACCCACAGCCCCAAAAGCTCTCATCTTTGGGGTCCTCAAAATCCAGATGTGAACTCTGCATCTGGAGCCCAGCTCTAGATGTAATGAAGAAAGAGTATGTGGGAGAGTGCCAGCCGAAACCAAACAAAAACAGTGAGGTTTGCAAATGAGCATTTTCATGAGATTTTATACCATGATCTTGCATGTTCAGTAAATACCATTAATGGGTAAAGGAGGCCACTGTTTGGGTTTGCAAATTCCAAACCAGCAGTTGTTTGAATTGAGGTCCCACTTTATCCAAACCAATGAAGCTTTGGAGAGGTTTGGGTAAAATATTATAGTTCTGTCTCATCTCCACACCTGGCAAGTTTTCAAAACCAAGGGTGGATCAGAGCCAAATTCCATGTGATGTGAACCACCAAAGCTCAAGCTGGGGGAGGGCATTTACACAAAAAGTTCCAGTTTTGGGCCTATGGCTAATACACACCAGTTATACATACCACGATGAAACTGGGAATTAGGCTAACCAAGGAATAATGTACCAGAACCTTTAGTTATGTAACAGAAACATAGCTATCACTTGTCAGCACACAGTGGTTACTCACCCACTTTCTGTGGCATGTAGTAGGATGTGGACACATTTCCATTTACTGTGGCAATGCACTTGAGCAAGCCATTGAAGAAGTGGAAAGGAGGAGAGGGGATGATAAATCCTTTTTTGGGGTCCCAGGTCATCTTCTCATATCTGAATTCTACTGACAAAGGATGCTGAAAAAGAGGAGACCGCTGAAACTTTCCTCTGCATCACAGACCACATGGAACAACTCAGCTTCAGCCCAGCATAAGCCAGGTGACTTCAGTGGCACAGAAAGGCTTCCTCCATGCCCACTCTGGAGCCGGGCAGTTGGAAGCTGCACTAGCATTGCTGCTTCTCCCAGCCCTCCAGCTGTGGCCCAGGCACAGCTTCCAGCCAGTGGGGAGGTGCCAGGCAGCTGGAAACAGTGTCTGCACTGCTGCTGCTTCCCTCTGCTCCCCCTCCCCCCTCCCCTGCCTCTGGCTGCAGTGTGGGAACAGCTGGAAGCTTCCTGGCTCCAACATAGCTTCCCACTGGCTGAAAACTGCACTCATGCTGTGCAGGATGGGAGAGGAGCAACAGCAGCAACACAGATGCAGTTTGGAGATGCTAGGCCCTGGTGCAGCTCTCTGCTGCCTGGAAGCTGTGTCCATGCTGTACCAGGGAGCAGAGGGCTAAGGGAAGCAGCAGGGGCATGCGTACAGATCCTAGCTGCCTGGCACGGCACCCTGCTGCTGACATGCTGCCAAAACCACCTGGGCTGTGCTGAACCAGAGCCAGGAGGATGGGGAGAAGCAGCAGTGGCATGGATGCAGCTGTAAGCTGTCCGGGCCAACTGTGGACTCAGGTAAAGCCCCCCAGCTCCACAGGCTGCATCTGGCCTGTGAGCCATATATTGATGCCTTCTGACCTACATGCTTTGGAAATATGTGTCTTTAATACACTTCTGTTTGCAAAGTGTTCTGAGATGTTTAGGGAAAAAGATACACATTTGAGTGCAAAATATTATCATTAGCACCTTGGAGCTAGGCACAAAATACAGACCAGAGAGTTTTAGGCTTCCTTGCATCGCTTCAATAATGCTTCCGTTGACAAACACTCTTTGCCAACCCCTCTCTGATTTTTAGGGTTAATTCACTGTTGTTATAACTTGCCAGTGTTAAACATAGCTAAACTCTACATTCTGAACTATCCCAGATATTGCAGTCTCAAAAGTGTGCCTTGAATGCTATCACAGCTTGTTCCACTGGCCTGACAAAGGAGTGGGAAAAGAGAAAAATTTAGTTAAAAATAAAGAAAGAAAATCTAATGAAAAAAACGAACCCAATATGTAAGCTGCATTTGCACAGCACCCATTTAGGCAACTCCTTTTTGGTTGGAGAAGATTAATTTGTTACTATTCAAGCACAAGACCAGCTTTGCACTAGCTGGGGGAAAAATGAGATTTATTTTTTAGCCAGCCTCAAAAATTCTTGGATTTAAATAGCAAAAATACCCACAATAAAGAAACCCCTAACTTTAAATGTTCTGGTACATCTGAGAGGGCTGCATAATTCCAGCCCAGTTTACAGACAGGCAAACAGAGACACCGAGCGACTAAACTGGGTTGCTGAGTCTGAAATCAGGGGTCTCTGACAGAACTGGAAATGGCTTCCAGGAGGCCAGACTCCAGTTTCCAGCTCCAGCCAATAGACACATTTAAGATGCAGCCTCTGAGAGCGGGTATTCACAATACCAGGGAATTACTGGGTCAGTGGCTACCTGTAAAGGTCCCTTCTCATCCTGTACTCCACCAACTAACTCAAGGAAGGGTGCTTTGTGCACAGGAGCTTGTCTAACATCTCTCCCAAATATACAGTTGGTCCAATAAAAGATACCACCAAAAAAACCTTGTTTCTCATTGTTTTTCTGGGCCATTATGGCTGCAACAAGACACCAGCCCCAATACTACTTGCCTAAAACTGTTCATGGGCAGGAGTTGGGTAGATGGGAGCTCCAGCAGATGGTATATATACTCAAAGCTCTGGGACAACCAAAGAGCACCTACAGGTGCTAAATGATAACTAACCTCTTCTTAAAGAGAACTCCTTCCTCCCGCTTACTGTCAGCATGTCCTTTGGAGAAAAGAAGTGAACTAGTGTTTTTTTACAAGTCTTTCAAAACTGAATCAAGATGAAGGCTTCACCAAGGAAGACTTATGGAGCGTTGCAAGCCAGGAAGTGGGAACATCACCAGTGACATCACCAGTCCTGGTATTATTTTCATGATTAGACTGTGTTCACTTTAGTGCTCTTCACCAAACAAAGGATGCTCCTGTGCAGGGTGAGAGTTCACAGCATTTGCGAGGAATCCTCCTGCTTTGAACAAATCCCAGCTCCAAGCCATTAGAGCTGTTATTAAATAATACTGGAGATGAAACTGAGGTGTTGAGCTAGCTGGCCTCATTTTAGATCATTTGCTATGAAACATTCTTCATGGCAAGGCACAGACTTTGCATGAAGGCACATCCTGTCATTGCAATGTAGCAATTTCATTGGGGAGCAAGAGAGACAGGTTAGACAGGAGCTCCCTTTTAAAAGAGTGGTTCCAGTTAGATTTCAGAGCTCCCTGGAAGACATTCAGATTTGGTGAATAGGTTCAGGATTTTTACAGGGGCCGATCTGAAACCTTCAGGAATTGATGTCTGCAAAGGTCAGGACCGTCCATGACAAGCAGACACAGCCACTCCTCATGCTGTCCCTGTTCAGTGATTAAACAGTTCTAGAAGTGACAACCCTCTTGCCCAGCAAGAAAGGCACATAAGGAAAAATAAAAGCTTAAACTGCAAGCCCTACCCTGGGGTCCTTATGGCTAAGATAATATGTAGAGCTAACCAGAATCTGTTTAGTATTAGCAAACTGTACCCTTTCCCATAAATATTTAAAGGGCAGAGAGTGCAATCATTTTAAAGTATAATAGTAACATAAGAAACTTAATTTATGGTGGAAAAAAGGACATTTGCTACAAGAATAATAAAATGTGATAAAGCTGAATTTCATGGTTTGGCAGCTCTGGTCCCTCATGGCTAAGAGATGGGGAGAAAAAAATAGTCCTGCTCCAGAGATGCCTTTCAGCAGTACACATATATTACATTTCTTCATAAAAAATTCAAAAAATATATTTAAACAACTAAACAAAAAGTATCCCTGCCACATGAAGGGGAATCGCCGTATTTTTCCGTTCTTTGAAGTTTATTGCTTATCGGAGATTAAATTTGGAAAAGGATGTTCTAAATTTGTCTGGTCGCTTTATTCAGATCCCCTGTCCCAACCTCCACCCCATAGCTTCCTCTGTGTGCAGGAAGCAGCCACTGTGGCTCCACACGGCAGTCTGAATTTCCCAGACAAGGAAAAACAACGAGCCGGGTTTCCATATAAGGTGCTTTGGGATGGTATGACGTGCTCCCTAGGTAAACACACACCTACATAAGTGGATGCATCCTCTCTGACAGCAACGTCTCCCTGACCTGCAGGCACCTTCCTTCTGGGCTATAAATTCCACTTCCCCACACCCATCCGCCCTGCCCTAAAGTGGGAAAATCCTTGGGTGAGACTCCTTTGCCATTCAAGGGGAAGCACACTGCAATTTCGTTCATCTCCTTTGTCACCAGCTTGTAGCAAGATGAAGGATATGCATTTCTGAACCTAGAAATAACTGGCAGAGAGAGACTGCCTCAAATGGGATAATACTCCATAAACAGGGGCACGAAGCCTGAAGTCTGTTTGGGCCAAGGTTATAGGGCCATATTCAGCCTGGAGCAATCCAACTAAAATCAGTAGAGATACTCCAGGGACAACTCTGGCTCTCTAACCCACAGGTTAAGTGAACTGAAATAGGACAGTTCCCTAGCCATGGGGGAGAAACTGGGGAAGTTTTTCTGAGTCAGGGTAGTGAGGGGGGAGCCCTAAAGGCATAAGTGAGAAAGATCAACCCCAACTCTACACTCCTTCATTTTAATTTCTACCCACTAAGTATGGAATAAGAGTGCTGCTCCCACTAACAACACCTGAGGTCCGCCATTGATTTTGGTGGAAAGAATCAGAGCATCACCATCATTTCAGGTGGCGGCTGCCTTCTAGAAATAGGAAGCACGTGGCAATTAACAGGCACTCAGGACACCCTCCCCCATCAAGATGCCCTAGGGTTGGACTCTATGCCTATATTCTGCTTTCTGAACAGATGCAATCAATGCAGCAACATGAATGCAGGCATTTGTATCAATAAAGCCACCATGCAGGCTAGGATCGATTGGCCCCTGGTGGGCACCATCTCAGGAGAGGGCAAAGACTTGGAAAAATAACTCCTCTCTTGTGCCAAAGAGAGGTCCCTTTAGGGCAGGCTGCAGAAGACTGAGAGGGGTAAAGCCAGGGGAATAGCACTGTATGTTTTCAGTGGATAGTAAGACAGATGCACATGCTAATGTTTAGAGTACAGGAGCCAGATGCTCTGTGTACTATCGCTGGCTCTGCTACAGACTTCTCTATGGACTCAATCTAAAGTCCCCTGAAGTCGAATGGAGAGACTCCATTAGGCTTGAATGGCCTTAAACCTTCACCTCTATATTTCTTGTGGAAAAGGTTTCAGGATCCTTGCACCAAATGCAATCCTGGCATAAGCAGGTGAAAGTACTCCTGTGATCCATGGAAATAGTTTCATTTCAGTTGATTGCAAAATGTGCAATAAAACAGAAAGACAGTCAAGGAGGAGCAGGCTATAAAGTGAACAATTTCCATTGAGATAGAAAAACCCTTCACAGGATATTTTCTTTCAAGAGAAATGGCTTCTTATCATCTCTCTTTGCCAAAATACTTAGAATAGTTAGCCAGTAAGGGAAAGAAACTAATATTTATAAACCCATCCTAACAAAGACAGGCCACATGTGGGGTTCAGTAATACAGCTATGTGAAGAATGTAGGCAGATTAAGGTGGATTTCTGGAGGGTATTCCTATTTTTTTGTCCTTGTTGGCCTTGTTCTGGAAGTTAGTTGGCCCAGCATGTTTGCCACCTTGTGTTGGCTATCTACATCTCTAACGAGTTGGGCTGATCTGAAATTTCCACTTACCTGGAAAAGCTTGGGTCTGATATCTGGTGAAGTGACTCGGCAGGGCACAACCACCACTTCTGTAACATTCAGTACATAGATCACGTCGGGATGCTCATGGAAAATCTTAACAAATGGGCTCCTGATATCTGCAAGAGACAGTAATAGATCGAGATGTTGCGGACTTGTCCCATCAGTGGAAAGAAATAACTTGTTCAATGATCTATCTGGTGTTGTGTTGCAGGAGCCTACCTGAGTCGGTACAACAAGCCCACACTGTGGTATCCCTTCCTTAGGCACGTGAGGAGCTGCCCACCATTAATATCAGTCATTCCTGGGAGGCAGCATAGGTCAGAGGCTATGGCCTCTAATCACATCTCCCAGCTGCTAATAGTGTCTGTTATATATTTGCTGTGTGGCATCAGGCAGGGCACTTTGCTCCAGCATTTCCCATCAGTAAAACCCTGTTCCAGGATGGTGGTGGTACCTTGTATTTGAAGGCTGCTTTGTCATACCCAGTTGGAAGGTAGTATACTGACCCAAACTTCAAAGCTGGTTATACTTTCACCAGCATCCTAAAAGGACTGTACATAATTACCCAGCTAACTAGTGATTTGCTTCACCCAGATTAACTTGCCAAAGGGAAAATGCCCATGTACCACAATTTTTCAGAACTATGGCATACAGGGATACCCTTCAAAGGATGTGAAAGAAGTCTCAAGACCTGAGATATTCCAAAACAGACTAGAAGGATCTGTTTAACACTGACAAAGGGATGGGTTTGTTGACCTTGCATATCTGCAGGATTTTCTCTGCAGTTGCTGCAATTGCTCCGGCAAGAGTTAACTCAAAAATAACAATAAACACGTTTGGCTTCTATTCTTCTGAGTTCTGAGCTGGCTGGGGCTTTATGGTTTATGAACTGAAGGTATTTTGATAACCACCAGAGGGCCATGAAAATATGTTTGATTTCTCTTAGAACATCCATTTATCTACTAAATTTCTATTGGAATTAGGGTGTTAATTTCTCACTGCTTTTATTTTCCTGTTAAGCAGGTTCAGAAACTACTCAGCCAATACTGCACTACGTAAATTAGATGAGCAAACTTGCTTGACTTGAATTGTAAAGTCTGTGGGGTAGAAACCATCCTTTTGCTATGCATTTGGACATAGCATAGCAACCTGCGTTCCCCCATCTTTGGCTGGGATCTCTTGCTACAAATTAATATTAAGTGCCACATCTGATGAACAGTGAATAGCTGACACAAAGAGCCTGGGAATAACCCACAGCAATTTAAAACTCCTGCTCCCAAAGCATTCTGAAAATGCTTATGAATGATGAATTTTCTCAAGGGAAAATGAGGTCATTCTTCAAATTAATACTTTGCTATCCAAAATGGGCTAAATCTGTGATGAATATTATTTGTAATATCCAACACATGGATCACTATAGTTTGGCCTTTAGCAGTGGCCAAATTCTTTGTGACCAGTAAAAATGAATACTGTTGTCCCATGCTGTATATCCCTTCCTGAACCCCTTCAGTTCATCTATGCGTATCCTGAACCGTAGGGTTTCTTTAACCTTTAAGGCTCTTCTTTCTTCTCCTTTTGCAGTTGAGATGTTAGTTAGATGCTTTGGAAAGCATACACACGCACACACACACACATATATTTCATTTGAAGATCTACCAATGCTGTTTATCTATACCATCCTCTACAACCCCATGGTTCTGCATAAATGCATAAGCAACTCACAAAGACACTCTCAAGGACCCAGAAGAACAGACACCCACCTTCAGTTTCCTCTGTGCAAAAATGAAGTTTTTCTACCTATGGGGACCTTTTACCATCTTTAATTTTCCCTGAACCTGAGGAAGGGCATCTGTTCCCAAAAGCTTGCAGCCAAACATAACTTTTTTTTGGGTGCAATTTTTGTAGTTGGTGTGATAAAAGGTATCATCTCTGAACCAAGAGTTCTAGAGTACTGCATGAAATAACCCTGTACACAGTTATCAAACCAAGATGGCAACATTATTAATGGACTTCTGGGGCTTCTTCCTACCTTCATGAGTAGAAACATTTTGAAGGGAGAAGAAGAATTATATTCTGGCCCTGGGTGTAGTTGATACTGTAAACATCTCCCCTGGAAGGCCTGCAGTGTTGAGGCTGCAATGTTTTTTCAGGAGGTGCTTCTGTTGGACAGTTCCCCAACGACAGGATTGCAGTTAACCCACCTCCATTGACTTTGGTTGAGATTACAGTACTCAACACATCCTTTGTAGCAGAATTCCCAGTGACTTGAGTTAATATCCCTGCAATAAACTGTGTGCTTTGTTTATTACAGTCTAGTTGCAGACTGCAGAGTTGTACTGCAATGCACAGAGCAAAGACTGCACCTGTTCTTTTTCACCCTCACCTTGGTCCAATCTCAAATGCAAGAAACATGATTAGGGTCTAATTTTGAAAGGTTTGGAACTGTGAAATACTCTAGGTTTTGGCAGAATGGCATTTAATGGACTGATCCCAGGAGCTCATTTCTTAAGGCCCTACAGTGGTCCTTGATCATGATGGCAACACTTGTTGGCTGATGGATTTGTTTAGAACATTGTAAAAATGGAGGTTTCAATAAGAAGCAGACAGTTTTCCCTCCAGTATACAGGCAGCTGTTCAGGGAAGTCAGAAAAAAAAATGACAGATGGAATAACATGCTCCATGTTTTCCCTTTCATTTTTGACCAGTTCCACTAATACTGAGGAGGATTTGATGAGGTAAGCTTAGGATAAAAAGCCCCAGAGCCATCCCCTTAGGTACCCCGTCCCAAGCACACAGCTCTTTGGTTCTCTTGGGAGATTCATTTTGCTCAAAACTGCACAGAGCAATTCTGTGAACTTAAAACTAATATCCAACCGCTGCACTGTTGTGCACTACTAAACAACTATTGCCTTAGAATGGGCTGAAATTAAATCATGGGAGAAGGGACTGTCATGTTGAATATTTTAGTTAATCAATGCTAGATGAGTATGAAGTTGATAGGTCTTCTCTGTATTTTGGCTTTTAGTTTCTAGTATTCCAGCATATTTCATGGATGTTTTTAAAGCTGGATAGTTTTTAGGATTGGAAGAGATTGAGTATTTATCATTCTTCTGTCAAGAATCTGGTTAGCATATTCCTCATCATCATATTTATTAGATCCAGATGCTTAGTTCTCCTGCTGATGCTTGGTGTTGCTCATTTATGACCTTCAGATCAGTACGAAAAACACCGAGCACGTAGGAAATAAGGTTTGGGCTTCTCTTTTCTTTCCAAAAGCGAAATTCAGGTGGCAAAAGAGCTCCCAAGCATGGTCTTATATTTTTTCACCTGGTTTGGGTTTTCTATCATATGAGTATGAATTCATTTGGGAATATCAATATTGGCTTCTTGGCTAGTGCAATTAATCTTTGCTTAGCATGTCATTGAAAAACACAAGTGCTACAGTGGCTCTAGGGAATTAATCTTCAAATAAAAACCAGATCTTTTCTGCAGGCAGAATTCCTTCCACCTACCACTGGAAAGAGTTTCACTCCCAAGAATATGAGTGTGGGTGTCTGTGTGAGAGAGCAAGGATTAAGGGTTATGCAGCAAAGCGGATTTTTTTTTTTTACAGATTACTTAGTTTAAGCTTTTAACTTGGTGAACTGACAGCAGGATTCCTAGAGGACCACAAGGAGTATCTGAGTCAGTCACCTGGATACACAAGCAGAAAATATGCTGACACAGCAATTTGTGTGTATCAAGAAAGGCCAGAAACATAATGACAAAGCTTTGTAAAAGGCACTTGGGTCACTGGGCAAAGGCAAATGATGCAAAATTCGCATCTAGGGAGCCACCACAAACAGCTGATCAGAAGCACTCTAAAGCCCCATCTGCATGCTTTCTGAGCCACAGTAAGCTGTATATGAGGCATCAGAATAGGAAGCAAAGACCAAAAAACCATAAAGGAGTCTTTTCAACTCAAATCATTTAATTTCAGCTTCTGTTCTATGACAACAATGGAAATGACTGATCCATCCTCAGTGCTGGTCTATAAGGAGATATGTACTTTGGAGTTGGGAGGCTGAAAGAAGTCTTAAGGAAAGGCTATTAATTAGAGCCAAAACCTAAGCTCAGAAGGCCCCTGACATATGAAAATTTTAGATACACACCTGAATTTCTCATTAGCTTTTATCACACTACATTGGTTCTAATCAACCCTCTACCATAAATCCTGAGGAATTTGAGGTCCAGTTCAGAACTCTTAGGGCTTGTGCTAAACTAATAGTAAGAAAAGCACAGTTAGCTCTCGTAGCACAGCATGAAAGCTTGTAACAATGAGTTTTAAAGACTCATAGTCCATTTTGTCCATTGCTGCATTCATATACTATGTTTCAATAATTGTCTGTGGGTGCGAATCCTGTTTGACTCTTCTGCAATGTCAAACTTTGGCTAATCCATACTATAGGGAGTATAAAATACAATAATGGTTTAAAAGCAAAGACCTAGTTGAGCTAGTTGTGGAACCTGGCTAGTTTCCACTCACTGGAAAACCTTGCTCTATGACATATTAGCTGCGATGAAAACAAAGGAAATTAGTTCATAAGCATTTGCATTAAAAGGGGGAAAAGGGACAAGGCCGAGTTATGGAGGAAGGAATTTGCACCTTTGCAGAGAGGATGATAGCACAAAAACATGCAAATGGGGCCAGCTGAATTTCTTTGCCACTGTTGAAGTGATGTTACCAGGATGTTTCAGGAAACATGCAATAGGCAAGAACTCTGGTGGGTGATATATTGTATTTGTCAAATAGTAAATTAACTGAGAAAAAGGAATTTTGAGGGGATTGAAACTATTCATAAATTAAAACTAAAACTAGTGAACAGTTTGAGTCAAAAACAATAGATTTTTTTTCTCATTTTTAAATGCATGTTCCAACAGTTTGTTTCAGAGCTGCATGTGTTTAAAATTGGCACAATAGACAGAAAAAAGGTTAAAAAAATGAAACAACCCCAAACTAAAATAATCCACTTCATTATGGCTGGTCAAATAAAACCCAGAGGGAATTCTTTCTTTTCACAACGAAAAACAAG